TTCCTGTGTAAGAAATGTATTCTGATTGGTGGTCAGACTCTCATGGGGCCATGCAGGGCCAACTCTCTAGACTGTGTTTTGAGTCCAGGTTTGATTGAGTTCCCAGATGCCATGTGGTGACTTTCTGTGGAAGGCTAATCCTACCTTTATTATGTAAAGTAGACTAGTTCAGGCTTTAATGGCTCATTGACAAAGCCGCGGGGGGGGGGGGGAAAGCTGCAGGAAGCTATTCTGCCTTTAAAAACCTGTTCCTCCCTTTTCACATCCAGGGAAATATAATATTCTGCCTTCTTAATATTTCCCAGGATATTTCGATTTTCTAGCAGAGGGGTGGGTTTTAACTTCCTACACTAGTACGATTTGATAACTTATTAGTAATCTTAACTGTCACTAACTGTTGTATCTTTTTATTCTTGATGAATGTATTTTATTCTTACGTACACTGAGAGCATCTCCACCAAAGACAAATTCCTTGTGTGTCCAATCACACTTGGCCAATAAAAGAATTCTATTCTATTCTAAGAACAGGTAAAACAGAGCAAAACTTGCTTAACAAATGTCTCACTTAGCAAAAAAAAAAAATTGGGGGGACTCAGCACTGGATGGATACTAATCAAGAAGAGAAGCAACTTGGAATGAAGGAGAAACTTCTTAACAGTGAGAACAATTAACCAGTGGAACTACTTGCCACCAGAGGTTCTGAGTACTCCATCATTGGGGGTTTTTAATAAGAGACTGGAGAGCCCCCTGTCTGAACTGGGACAGGGTATCCTGCTTGAGCAGGGGGCTGGACTAGAAGACCTTCAAGACCCCTTCCAGCTCTAGTCTGAGTCAATTGTTGTCCTAAATCGAGGACCCGCTTTATTGGGCTAAAATCAAAACTAATTCTCAAGCCCTACTACTCATTTGGAAGGGGACAAGGGCACAATTGGAATATATTGTATATCTTTTAATTGTTATAGATGAAGAAATATAAAGGGGGGGGGAACAGGGTCTCCGGAGGGTGGGGGTGCCCTGTAATATTATTTTTTCCTTTTTTTATATTTAGATGTACTATATTTGCATTATTTGCATTTGAAAAATAAAATAAAAAAGGTAATCCTCAAGCCATCCCGGAAGTCTGTCCCATCACCTGACTTCACCACTCTACATTTTTTCTTCACTCTACCGCCAATAGTACGCGAAGGATCCTAAAAAGCCATCCCGGAAGTCCCCTCCCGCCGCCTGCCTTTCGCCGCTCTTCCCTTTTCTTCAATCTACCGTCCTTCGAACGCGAAGTTAGCCAGTTCGCTCCGAAAAGCGAGCTCGGATTGGCTGAAACGCCGCCTCGGCGGATATTCTACCCCGCGCCTGCGCCCTGAGCGCCTCTCCCCCCCCCCCCCCCGGTGAGGCTGTAAGCGCCGCTGCAAGGCTGCAAGCGCGCCGCTGCCGGTGGCGGGGCGACCAAAGCGGCGGAGGATGGTGGGCGGCGCGACCGTGCAGGGTCCCGTCGGCTTGCACGAGCTGCTTTTAGCCGGGGCTGCGGCTGTTTCGGCCCCTGCCGCTGCCGCTGCCGCTGCCTCGCCTGATGCGCCGCCGGCAGCCCCGGCTCCTGCGGGCGGCGCCTGCCCCGGGGTTGCTGCCCCGGGGGAAGAGGAGGAGGTCTGCGTGGTGGGCATCTTCGGCAAGACGGCGCTGCAGCTGGGCTCGGAGAAGGCGGCGCTGGTCAACACGGTCTGCGACCGGCAAGTCTTCCCTCTCTTCCAGCGGGAGGGCGGCGCGGGGTCTCCCGCCAGGGGGCCAAGCCCGGTCCCCGTAGCTGAGTCCCCCCCTCGGCCTTCCTCCTCTTCCTCCTCCTCCTCTTCTTCTTCCTCCTCCTCCTCTTCCTCCTCTGCCAGCCCTTGCCAGGGCGACTACAACCACCTGCAGGCTTTCTACAGCCAGGAGAGCAAGGTGCTCTACCTGGTCCTCACCGCCATCAGCGACAGCCACCAGCTCTTGCAAGCTTGCAAGGACTTGGAAGCCATGGGGGGCTCCTCCCGGGCCGCCACGGCCAGCTTAGGGGTGCCGGCGGGCTCCTCGCTGCCCCACGCCGAAGCCCACGAGTTCTGGAAGCACCAGGAGAAGATGCACTGCCTCAACCTGCTCTACCTTTTCTCCGTCTGTCACATCCTCCTGATGGTGCATCCCACCTCCTCCTTCGACATCACCTACGACCGGGTCTTCCGGGCGCTCGACGGCTTGCGCCAGAAGGTCCTGCCCACTCTCAAAGCCGCCATCAAGGACTGCCCGGTTGGCAAAGACTGGAAGCTCTTCTGCAGGCCGTGCCCGCCTCGCTTGCTCTTCCTCTTCCAGCTCAACCGGGCCCTGAAGGTGGAGCCTCCGCCGGGCCGGGGACAAGACCTAGGGGGCCAGTTGGAGAAGCCGGCCCCCAAGAAGCACTCCCCCAAGCGCCGTCTCCAGCATGCCTTGGAGGACCAGATCTACCGCATTTTCCGCAAGAGCCGGGTGTTGACCAATCAGAGCATCAACTGCCTTTTCACCGTGCCGGCTAACCAAGCGTTTGTCTACATCGTGGCTGGCGGGGCCCAGGAAGGCGAAGATCCCATCGCCGTCTTGCTGGAGCAGCTGAAAAACAACTGCACGGCTCGGGAGACCGACACTTCGCTGGGCCCGGGGTTGGCCGGGCCCCGGCGGTACCAAATGATGCGGCACGGGAGGCAGCAGCTGTCATTCCACGCCGAAAGCAGCAGCGGCGCCTCCGGGAGCAGCAGTTCGAGCTCGGGGCAGCTGGTGGATTGCACCTTAAAGGAATTCCTGTTCCAGCACGTCGAGTTGGTCCTCTGCAAAAAGGGCTTCGACGACAGCGTGGGGAGGAACCCCCAGCCGTCCCACTTTGAGCTGCCCACCTACCAGAAGTGGGTGGCCACTGCCCTGAAGCTTTACGAGGTGGCGATTGAAGGCAAGGAGAATGAATTGTCCCCGGGTGGAGAGCTGACCTCCAAAATCATGGGCAGCATCAAAGTCCTGGAGGGCTACTTGGACATCGACACCAAGTTCTCCGAGAACCGTTGCCAGAAGGCCCTCCCCATGGCTCACAGCGCCTATCAGTCCAACCTGCCCCATAACTACACCATGACCATCCATAAGAGCCAGCTCGCTCAGGCCTTGAGGGTCTACAGCCAACACGCCCGGGGTCCGGCCTTTCACAAGTACGCCCTGCAGTTGCACGAGGACTGCTACAAATTTTGGAGCAACGGGCACCAGCTGTGCGAAGAGCGGAGTCTGACGGACCAGCATTGCATGCATAAATTCCATTTGCTGCCCAAGTCAGGTGAGTCCAGAACCTTTGAAGTAGAAAAGCAGGAAAGGATCTTGGAAACTCCAGGCATGCACATTGCTGTCGTCTCTGAAAGTTCTATATTTCTTCTAGTTTGATGGAGTTTGTTGCTCTGTGGAACCGCAGAGTTTTGCATTTCCCTTCAGGTTTCTAGTCCTCTTTGTTTTTCAGAATACACTACAAGGGTGATGTGGCGTAGTTCGAGGGAAAGGGGAATCTGTTATTCCCAAGTTTTATTTCCCATGAACTCTGAAAGTAAATATAACATTGCAGTAATTATATCATTATGTAAAAAAAAAGGCATAAATTATTTATTTAGATATTTTTTATCCCGCCTTTACAGGTGTTCTCGAGTTACAAAAGCTTGGTTAGGGACCGTACAAAGTCACCCAGCTGGCTTTCGTGCCTAAGGTGGGACTAGAACTCACCGTCTCCTGGTGATTGGTCCAAAGTCACCCAGATGCTTTCATGCCTAAGGTGGGACTAGAACTCACCGTCTCCTGGTGATTGGTCCAAAGTCACCCAGCTGGCTTTCGTGCCTAAGGCGGGACTAGAACTCACTGTCTCTGGTAATTGGCCCAAAGTTACCCAGTCATAGGTTTGATGCCTAAGGCGGGACTAGAACTCACTGTCTCTGGTAATTGGCCCAAAGTTACCCAGTCATAGGTTTGATGCCTAAGGTGGGGCTAGAATTCAGTGGCTCCTGGTGATTGGTCCAAAATTACCCAGCTGGCTTTCATACTTGTAGGAGAGACTAGAACTCACAATCTCCTGGTGATTGGCCCAAAGCCACCCAGCTGGCTTTTGTGCCTAAGGCGGGACTAGAACTCACCGTCTCCTGGTTTCTAGTCTGGTGCTCAAGCCAGGAAACCAAACTGGCTCCAATCTAATATTCAGGAATCAGACTGTGATCAACCGTCTGATTCTTAGTCATGTAGTGCGAGAAATTTTGTAAAGCGTAAAAAAGGACAGATCGGATCTGGGAAATTCTTTTTGTTTTATGTTATGGACTGTGGTAAACTCCCAGTTTCATTAGTAGCTAAAATATTGCAGTGTTGTAGCTTTGTGACAGCTGACAAATGGAAATGTGACCGTATTTTGTCTGGCCAAAAAAAAAATGCTAACATTTCATTGTTCGGCCTAAGAAGCAAAAACATCCAGCGAAATGGTTGCAAAAGATTAAAATTGACATATTTTTACTCTTTCTGCCTCTTTCTATGTAGGGGAAAAAACAGAACCGGATCGGAATCCACCTGTGTTATATCATAACAGCCGGGCCCGATCGACCGGTGCCTGCAATTGTGGGAGAAAACAGGCCCCCCGGGAGGATCCCTTTGACATCAAAGCTGCAAATTATGATTTCTATCAGGTAATCCCAAAAAATAAGAGATCCATAACTGGCCAAGAGAAACACACTGTGGTCATCTCTCTCAGTTCTGTATCTATGCATGCATTTTCTTCTGGGTTTGGGGGAGTTTGTTGCTCCAATAGGTTTTCCAAGCTGGAAAACTCAGGAGCTTTGCGTTTCCCTTAAGGTTTCTAGTCCTCTTTGTTTTTCAGAATACGATACAAAATTGATGTGACGTAGCGCGAGGGAAAGGGGAATGTGTTATTCCCAAATTTTATTCCCTATTAACTCTGAAAGCGAACATAACATTTCAGTAATTATATCGTTATGTAAAAAAGCATAAATACTTCAGTTTTGGAATGTAAAGTATGTAAGATGACTCGTGTTTCATAGGTCCCCGAAGCTCAAGGCCATATTCACAAAAAACAATTTATTGTTATCATGGTTGGATTTAATCTGTCAAGCATCCCACCCACCAATATCCTTCTCCTTTTTATTATTTTTAATTTACTTATTCGTATCCCGCCTTTTTTTTTTTTACAAATAGACTCAAGGCATTGCATGTATCCAACACACCATCATTTTCCCCCCTAACAACAACCCTGTGAAGTGAATTGGGCTATGACATAGGAGTTAGCCAGAAACCACACAGCTGGCAGCACTACAACTCACCATCTCCTGATAATTGGCGCAAAACCACCCAGCCTTTGCACCAATTATCTTAAGCAATTTTGTGCCTAAAATAGGATGAGAACTTACCCAGTTGGCTTACATGCCTATATTAAGACTAGAACTCACTGACTCCAAGTGATTGGGCCAAATTCACTCAAGCTGTCTTTCATGCCTATATTGAGACTAGAAGTCACTGATGCCTGGTGATTGGGCCAAACACACCCAGCCAGCTTTCATGCCTATATTAAGACTAGAACTCACTGACTCCAAGTGATTGGGCCAAATTCACTCAGCCGGCTTTCATGCCTATATTGAGACTAGAACTCACTGACTCCAGGTAATTGGACCAAATTCACTCAGCCGGCTTTCATGCTTATATTGAGACTAGAACTCACTGATGCCTAGTGATTGGGCCAAATTCACTCAGCTGTCTTTCATGCCTATATTAAGACTAGAACTCACTGACGCCTGGTGATTGGGCCAAATTCACTCAGCCGGCTTTCATGCTTATATTGAGACTAGAACTCACTGATGCCTGGTGATTGGGCCAAATTCACTCAGCTGGCTTTCATGCTTATATTGAGACTAGAACTCACTGACGCCTGGTGATTGGGCCAAATTCACTCAGCCGGCTTTCATGCCTATATTGAGACTAGAACTCATTGACGCCTGGTGATTGGGCCAAACGCACCCAGCTGTCTTTCATGCCTATATTGAGACTAGAACTCACTGACGCCTGGTGATTGGGCCAAACGCACCCAGCTGTCTTTCATGCCTATATTGAGACTAGAACTCACTG